ATATTTGCGTCTGAGCTGAGCTTATGGTTCATATGTATGTATGTATATTTGTGGTATTTGTTGTTGGTTTTTGAACAGTCACTTTTGAGATAATTTGCACAAAATGTAGCCAAATTGTTGGAGAATATTTTGTTGTAAATTTCAAATATTTGTTCTGGCCACTTGCAAAATTTGCCACTTAAATTTTTCGCTAACTTTTCATCTGCACTCCACTTGAGAATGTTGCTCCGACTAACATTTCGCTCAAGTTCGATGACAATTTGGCATTTTTGTTTTGTTTTTTAAGTTGCATTATTTTGTCGCATGTTGCTGTTGTCTTTCACTTTTGGGCAAGTGTCGAAAGCGAGACAGAGCCTGAGAGAGCGAAAGCGAGAATGAGAGAATGAGATGGGTGGCCAGCCAGGAGACAGGAAGGCGAAACTTTTTGTCGCCATTGTTGGTAAAAGTTTTGCAATCGCCAGTGCCTCATAAACTTTATGCATATGCACTGACGGCCCTAGGGGGTGGTGCGGATCCATGAATGGATGTGGTGGTGTTGGGACACTGGGAATATAGCGGAGGGGGCGAGTAAGTGAAGGGAATATACCGCATAATATGCGAACTGGGCCTGTCATAAATGAAAGTTATGCCTTCTTGCGCCATACAAATGAACGCTCTGAGAATTGAGCGAACATGTAAACGATTCATCCTCCTCGCTTTCTCTCTCTCTCTCTCCGAATGGGTGGTGGCTCGGCGGCTTGGTGGTTACTACTGGGGAGAGCGTCGTGCATATGTTAAGTGTCGTCTCTAATTATTAATCCTCTTTGTCGACCACGAGCACACAACACACAACACACACAAGAAAAGCCAAATGAATATTGAAGGACGCAGAAACCGCAACAAAATTTATTTTAAGCTAATTTTCTTATTTTGCACTTAATTTTCATCTTGACGGAGAGCAGGCCCAGGCCCACACACACACACACACACACACACACACATCTCCTGTCCCGGCTATGGATGGCTGAAGGGTTTGCTTAGCCCACTTCCCCGCGGTGGCAACCGCACTCTGCCATTCCCCCACCCACTTTCATCCGGTTTGTGACTCTCCGAAAGTCAACGACGACTTTGCCATTTAGACTAATAATAAAAACTTAATACGGTAATCCACTTATGCTCCAGCCCCATTCCCCAGCAGCGGCAGCGGCAGCAGCAGCAGAAGAAGAAACCGCAAGCCTCTCCCACTAGCGCGCTCTCTACTTCGCTCGCACGTTTACTCTCCCACTACAGCGCTCACTAGAACGCTCTCTCCTTGGCTCGCTCACTAGAGCGCACAGTGGGTCGCAGAACACTTTGATTGGACCATTTTTGGTTTACAGAGTAATATGTCAATTATTTAATAAAAATAATTATTATTACATTTTCAGTCAGACATATACTTGTATTTTTCCACAGTACAATTGCATCTTGCAGTTTTTGAGTGAGAGTCAGTGTGCTTTTTAAGTAAACAAATTCGATGCCTGTCCTGCCCTGCCACCCACTCACTCAAGTGCGTGCAGCAGTGTGTGTGTGTGTGTGTTCATCGATGTGTCTGTGTGTCTTACCCACAATTTGTTTCCTTCCTTTTTTTCAAGTCAACCAAAGTTTTGCGGCGCGCTCATTTTTCGTGTAGCCAACTTAACACTTTTGCTTAGCTCCCACATAAATTATGATGTGCGTGTGGCAGTGTCAGTCTGTTTGGGGAAAGTCAACAAGCGGCAAAGCCAAGCCACTTGGACCAAAAACGAAGGAAACGAGAAGAATACGAGAAGAAAACGTTAAAAATAAAACTATAAAGTGTCGGGAAGCCCCAAGAACGTTGACTTTGCCTCAACAGCAATTCAATTTGGCATGAAACTAACTATGCGTGGTGCTCGTGAGTGCGACAGGCAGAGAGACACATGGAGAGGGGAGGAACAGAAAGAAAGAGATATAAAAACCGTGCGTAAAGGCATATTTATGGCCAGGCTGGAGACGACAGCAACAGAATTAACCAGCCAAGTGGCAGAGAGAGAGAGAGACTATAGCAAACAAAAAATATAAGGAAAAATAGCAACCGAATTTATTTTGCTGCCAAAGAATATGAAATCTGGCAGGGTAAAGGAGTGGCCCAGAGTGAGACAGATAGACTGGCTAAGCTGCCTCTTCACTTAGTTGCACTATTCCACAAGGCCCTGGGCTGCTCACTCAGATAAGCGCAATTGGTGTGGAAATGTAGTCTACTTTATGAATGCAAGAAACAGTGGGCAGGCGATTGTGCTGGAGATACGAAACCAAATCAAGAGTGAGCGGAGGAGAGCCCAAAGAGAGCCCCAACACACTCTGACCATAAGGGAAGCTAGCTGGCAAGTAAAGTGCTAAACAAAAGGAATAAGATACTTGGGAAGACCAAAGCGTGGATATCTGTAAATATTGTTATGGTGTAACATTTTCAATACCTTTATTCTCTTGTGCTGTTCCTTTTTGCTTGCTGCAGTTGCCGCTTTCTTTCCACGCACCAACAAAATAGTCACAATTGAGGTTTTGCACATGAAAAAAAGATGTAAAAAATAAAGGTTTATATGGATTTGCATACGTGTACATTGTGTACATACTATACCAAATACATAAAACACTTGTTGCACTTTTCGCACTTTCCCTTTGTCGATTTTTTCCCTTTTGTTGGCATTTTTCCCACGCGGACTGGAGATGCGTCGTTGGATTAGTGCGCACCTTAAACATGCAAACAAACAAACACACACATAAGTGGTCGGTCGAGTAAACAGAAGAGAAGGCACAAGCCACAAATTATAATTGCGGTTGTTTGCACTGATCTATGCCATGACCCAGGCAGTAGGTATCAAACGGTAAACGGTGAACGGTAAACGGTGCAGAAGTGTTCCAACCGTCTACCTGCGCATCCAACGGAGAGTTTGAAGCGTGGCGTGAGGTGGACACCCCTCCTGCCATCAGCGGCCACGCGTCACATTTTAGTTGGTTTTGTATGTGTGCACATATGCATGCATGTACATATGTGTATGTACGTAAGTCGCTTCACGATTTATTGTCTGATCTTCCAGCTAAGGCACACAATGCGGCCAGTTCCTTCCTTCTATATCAGCTTGCTGAGTGTCCTCAGTATATTGCACATTATTTGAGTTATTGTACGCTATTTTAGTTGCTTTAACTGTTTTCTGCTTGCGGTTCTTGCACGAGTCTGTGCAGTGTTGGAAACTGCAAAAAAGCGAAGCGTTTACATTACAGTGTTATTGCAGGTACGCACATATGTGATTTATTTATTATTTACATGCATTAATTGATGTATTTAAACGCTCTTAAAAGTCTACAATTATTTAATGACTATTAATTATTCATTTTGCAATTGTTATGAGACCCAAGAACACTTTATACCAGATTTTCTTAGTATTAACTGTATGAAATAAGCTGTGGGCTGTCCATATCTACATACAAATGTTTTCCTTGATTTCAGAATGTTATTTATTGGAAACCATCAAATGTTATACAAAAACAATTTCGAGTTAATTTGTTTACAAATATGTTTATTTTTTGCATATTTATGTACATACTTCGATACGAAAAGAAAACAACTGTTATCGATATGGTTTGTGGTGGCTTTTGTGGCACATACTGTATGCCTGTATGGAATAAGCTGTGTTTAGTTTTTGTTTTCTTTAGTAATGGTTAAGTATTATTTTTGACTTTCAAATTGCATATCTGTCATGATTTTTGGCATATTATAACCATCTTCAGAGCATCTATTAAATATTTACTAGCACAAATTAAATGATGTGTTTGGCGTTTTTGAGATTAAATATCGTTAATTTTGATTACAATTTAAATGTATTGTATAAATTCATAAATAATTAGCAATAAAACACCCTAAAATAAACATTATCAACCTGTTTTAAGCAAATATGCGTAATTTTCATGGAAAGTTTATAAATGCAGCTATAAACTGTAACTTGGTTACTTCATTTGACCGTCTGGGTAATCTTAAGGTTTAAATTTCAAATTCATACATTTTTTGTAGAGTTATTTTGCAAAGTGTTTTCTTTAAAGATTCAGGAAATGTCGAACGAAATTTTAATCGGGTATTTTTGTATTTTTCGCATATTTTCGCACTAATTAGGCGCTGTTTTAGATATCGTTCACAAAAATTGATGGATAAACGGTTGAGTTTTAGCGCATCTGCTCTAGAGAGCTTCCTCTTGTGTTTCCTCAGAGGCTTCACACGATATGCCATATAAAAACGGTGTAAGCCCATGGATCTATGAGGGATTAGAGCTGCGAGGAAGAGCTCCAAAGGAAGCTCTGCGAATTCATTTCAATTCATTCAGAATACCCCAAAGAAACACTCTGGAATAAACCCCAAAAATCTTGAAACCTTGTAATAAAAAATAATACAATTACATATTTAAACATTTCTAGCAGTGGTAAAATCAGTGGCAAAAATTAGAGTTTTTTGTTTTACAATTTTGAAATTATTTCAATTCTTTTTTGTTTGATGAAACATTTGAAAATTGTTTTTAAAGTTGAATCGCTCTAGAATTTTGTTTTGTTTCCAGCTGTTTTTCTAGGTCCGTTTTTCTTTCTATTAAATTAGATCCCAAAAAGAGCAACCAAACTAAAAACAACCAAACACATTCCTAAAAAGATGTTATATATAATAGCAGGGCTCATTGGAAAACTGCTATTTCTGTTAATTGAATATTAATTATACAATTTACTTATTGTTTAAAAACAGATTGTAAATATAAAGAGAGAGTTTTTTTTTTTTTTTTTTTTTTTTTTTTTTTTTTTTTTTTTTTTTTTTTTTTTTTTTTTTTTTTTTTTTTTTTTTTTTTTAAAAAAAAAAAAAAAAAAAAAAAAAAAAAAAAAAAAAAAAAAAAAAAAAAAAAAAAAAAAAACATTCCTAACAGACACCTACAACACATTCGATGTGTGACAATCGATATGTTTTTGACAGTCGGAAACACTGTCTGTACGAAACTTCATATTTAACAAAAAAGGCCAGCAGTAAACGTTCGTAGCAGCAACAAAAAGCAAAAAATGTCGAATCCAAATAAAACTGTTTACAAGAAAAATGACTTGGTATTCGCCAAGGTTCGTGGCTACACCCCGTGGCCAGCCTTAATTGAAAACTGTGTGGATGGAGCAGACAAGTATTTGGTCCACTTTTATGGGACTCATAATAAGGGAAATATAAAGGGGGCAAAAAATCTATTTCCATACGTCGAGTACAAGGACAAATTTGCCACAGAAAAGAATCTACGCCGCGTGTCCTATGCCCGGGCTTTGAAGGAGATCGAACGCGATTCGGCCGGTCCAAGTGATTTGGATTCGGGTAAAAGCGATGATGGCGATAATACAAATAACAGCCCGGACCACCCAGACATTAACATTGACCCTCCACAGGAATCGAATGTAAGTGTCCAGCCAAAATGACTGGCTTGCAAATGTTTTATTAATGTACATTACGCAGAATGAACCAAATATAGTGAACAGCGTTCCGGAGTCCCAGGATGAAGATGTGCAACCCGTGCCACCAGAGCAGACAACTCCTGTCGATTTTGAGCGCGAGTTAGTTGAGGTATGCGAGGATGTCATAAGACTTTGTGCCCCACTGAATATTCGCTTCTAAAATTCCAGAATTCTAAGAAACAGCAAGAAAACATCTAATCACATCACATCCATCCCATTCAACCCACAACCATCATGTTCCATTTTGACTAACAGAATAAAGAAAAATTAAACTGTAGATCGGATCGTTGTACAATTTACTTCTAGAGTTCGGGCATTTGCAGATTGGTGCTTGAAGGAGGAGCAACCATAGGTAGTCCAAGTCCAAGGGAAACGAGCAAAAATATGTTAAATATGTTTTCTTATTTAAAAAAAAATCTAGTACCATTTGAAACCTCTGTTGGGGCAGCATACAGAAATCGTCACTCAATCCTTAGACTGGAACAGGCAACTTAGAACACACAACACAACAGACACACACTTCCTTATCGTGTGCCAATTTGATTCACTGCCATTATCGAAATGGCTTTTATGTCGCGACGTAATCCTAAAGGAAAATTGGTGCAGCGGAAATTGCTGTCCGGCAGTCCTGCAAGTGGACCCGGAAACCCAATGCCCGAGTGGCGCGACCTAAGCAAATCGGATGAAGGATTGACCGATCAAATAC